TTCGAAAGCATGTAAAAATGCAAGTAGGAAAATAGGAACCACTTTGGTGGGAAGGTAACAGCGTTCCATGCACCTTTGGTGTTTACTCATGCCAGCCACATGACCACGGAGATGTCTTCGGATAGCGCTGGCTCTTCGGCTTTGTAATGGAGATGAGCACCGCCTCCTAGACCCAGAAACGACTAGCACGTATGTGCGAGGGAAACCTTTACCTTTCACAATAAAATATTATTGAAATGGCAGTTTCATCTAAATTGTCTGGAATGGAACCAAAGTTTTTTCTAACCAGTGGTGAAATACAGTATTTCACAAAGAAACACAATGTTGCAAACCCACAAAGAAAATGCTGTGTAGGTATTACATATTTAACAACTGTTTACAAGCTGTTCAGATTCTATGGTAAATTGCATAACCTTTTAAATGCAATTAGTAATCAGTTTTTCCCTCCTGTACATTAGATTTGGAGAATGGAGTCCTTCAAATTTACTTGTTTGAAAGTTTTGAATAACCAAATTTAATATGCCCATAGTCAATAAAACTGAAGCAAAAAAGATTAAGCCAACCCCACAGTCACAGAATAAGGTGCCACTTAATTTCTAAATTCACTTATCTTTGGAAAACCTGAAGGACCATGTTAGAGCTGATCATTAGGGACAAAAATCTATGTGGTTGCTAACAGTCCACACTGACTTCATGGCACATAATCAATTGTTACTAAATGCACTTACAGCATTGATGTAGAAGATTTCCTCCAACTGGCTTTATTATAGATTTTTGCAAAGATCTTATGCTGCAAGGCAAACCACTCCAAGGGCCAAGCTTGGAGAAGATGACACCATGAATAATTTCATAAAGCATCTAGGAATGGTACCTTCATTTCAAATTCTGTAACTTGTATGCAGGTAGTTCTTGACTTATGACCACAATTGAGCTCAGTTTTTTTGTTGCAGTTGTTAAGTGAGTTTTGCCCCATCTTATGATCTCTTTTGCCATAATTGTCAAGTGAATCATGCAGCCGTTAAGTGAACCTGGCTTCCTCCATTGACTTGGCTTGTCAGAAGCCTGCTGAGAAGGTTACAAGTAGTGATCACATGACCCTAGGACAATCCAATTGTCATAAATACCTGTCAGTTGCCAAGTGCCTAAATTTTAATCATGTGACCGTGGGGATGTTGCAATGGTTGTAAGTATGAAAAACGGTCATATGTTACTTTTTTCAGTGCTGTTGTAATTTTGAATAGTCACTAAAAAAATTGTTGTAAGTCAAGGACTACCTGTGGCACACCACTAGAAGGCCAGGGGGAAACAGGCAAGTGTGTAGTAATTTATCATGATTTCCATGGTTATTAGAGCCATGGTGGTGCAGTGGTTAGAATGCAATACTAACTCATTCTCATTCCAGGAGTTTGATTCTGAGTGGCTCAAGATTGACTCAGCCTTCCATCCTTTTGAAGATGGTAAAATGAGGACCCAGATTGTTCGGGCTGACTCTGTAAACTGCATACAGAGGACAGCAAAGCACTGTGAAGTGGTATATAAGTTTAAGTGCTATTGCTATTAGGCAATTAAAATGAATTTTAGATTTTCTGGAGACGTTTGGAGTTGCTGGAAAACACAGAGGGATACCTTCCAGGAATAATGTTTCAAATGATTGGACATATAAAATTGTGTGTAACTAAAAGCCTTTCAACTTTAATTACAATTTTTCATATTACAAAGCTGTTATTGTGCAATTCAGGAGTTTAGATTTAAGAAACAAAGCCTCTTCATTTAATGGCATCCAGAACTGGCATGAAACAGTAGGAGGAAGGAAAATCACAAGCATAACAATGTACAGACTACAGAAGATTTTGCTAGGCTATTTAAGCCTATCATCCCCCTTCATTAAGATTTCTGAATTATTTTATCTTGATAGGCTTCTTAATTCTCAAACTGAACTTTAATAAAACTTGTTTTTTTTCTTGTTTTTTTCTCTAGGATAATTCTGTTTTTCTTTCCTACAAAAACTGATGCTTTCTTTAATATGTCACTGCTGTCATGTGTTTGCTTAATCTAATCACATTTATAATAATCCCAAAAATTTTCTTCTCTTTCTAGGCTTTGATTGTCTTTTGTTGTTTACTTTGCATATTGCCTCATTCTTTTCCTTGTCTTTCTTCTAGACCTTCCCCACTTTCCAATTTTTCTTTCTTTCTTGACTTGAATCAGTGGTGGGATTCAAATTTTTTTGCTACCGGTTCTGTGGGCGTGGCTTGGTGGGCGTGGCAGGAGAAGGATACTGCAAAATCCCCATTCCCACTCCACCCCACTAACCTGCTTTCCAGCTCCGTTCTCCTGTGCAGGGCAACAAAAGAAGACCCAGCCAATCAGCTGGGACTTGGGAGGCAGATAATAGATGGGGGCGGGGCCAGTCAAGAGGTGGTATTTGCCGGTTCTCCGAACTACTCAAAATTTCCGCTACCGGTTCTCCAGAACTGGTGAGAACATGCTGAATACCACCTCTGACTTGAATGGTTCAGAAGTCCTCATCCATTTTCAGTTAATGAATGGGACTGAATTCACTTTGTTGGTATTCAAAGATACTGGCAGTTCCAGAGGGCAGAAAAGCAAAAAGAGAAACTATTTGCTGCCATCTCTATTATACGCCGCCCCATTTAGCTTTCCCTTTTATCTGATTGACATGATATATATCATTAGGCCACAGCCACCCAGTCATTTTACTTTTATAAATAACTCAAAGTGGCAAACAGACCTAATGCTCCTTCCTCCTCCTATTTTCCTCACAATAGTAACTTGGTGGGGCGAGATGAGCAGAGAGAGACTGACTGGTCCAAAGTCACCTAGCCGATTTTTCACGCCTAAGGATACTTGAATAGTTTCCTAGTTTCTAGGCCTCTGTAAATTTGTAAATCTAATTACAGCCCACTTCAAAATAACTCCCACTGGAATCAAGTATACTTGTCTCTAAAAAAATATTTTAGGAAAAAAGCCAGGGCTGGTCATACAAATGAGTGTTGTTTTTCTTCCAATAGATTTACCGTGCCCCAGCACAAGTTCAATGTATGTAAAATCTCTATCACTTTGTCACCCATTATCTCAAAGGTGATTTCAGGTAATTGTCATGAGTGTGACTAGCGTGTTCCCTCTGCCGTCATCTCTTCAGCCATTTTCTTCTTGCTTTTCCTATTATAGCCCTCTACTTCCAGATTTCTTTGGAAGTTACTCTTATTTTATTTCCTTATTTTTGAAACCATATTTTCTCCAAGATTTCAACAAAGTAGAGGAAATAAAAGTAGACCTACCCTATTTTATTTGGGGAAGTGGTTCTTTGTACAATTCTGTTTTACCAATGCTCAGAGATGATATCAGTAGACCAAGGGCATCATCTATCTTTAGTTGCACCCGTTCTACGTTTCCTTATTGCAGTCTTTAGAAAGTGGGGAATGAGGAATTTACCAATCCTTTAAAATTACAGTGTATAGCTGCCCAGGATCTAGTCAGTTCCAGCAATCCTACCCTATAGATATTACCTGATTGCAGAATCATTGCCCGCTCCCCTTCCTTACTCTCTGTAGCTATTTTTGTTTTGATGTCCTCCTATATGTTTCTTTCACACTAGTTTAATTTGGAAAGATAGTTAGTGGCAGTTTGGGAGGAACAGATATGTTGATCTAGAGTCCTGAAATCAGAATCACACCATTTGTACTGTACTGTTCCATGTTCTTTCTGCTAGCAGTGATATGCAGGAGATAAGGAGAAAGAAGTATACAAGCCCGTCAAGATGACACCAGTTGGCAATGACTTGGAATGAATCCAATAGAGGTAGCAATGAAAACAACAAATTTTATGTCAATATTGTTTTGTCGTAACTCAGGGAGAAATGGGCAGCACTTTAATAGGGAAAGGCTCAGTACTGCTTCTAATCTTCCCACTATTTTTCTTTGGCTTCTGTACAGACAGAACTTTAAAAAAAAAAAAACAAATTAAAAAGTTCTTAGAATAGCTCTGTGTGGTGCCTTTAGGCAATATAGAAGCTATAATCTGGCTAAAGGAAAGTTTTAAATAGTGTGTCATCAAGTTGTTTTCGACCTCTATCAATGACATAGATTTTCGCTAATCTGGTATTTCAAGTCTTCCAATATTGCACTCATCCCCACCGTAACTGAATCCATCCATCCAACTTGCTGTCAGCCCTCCTCTTCTCTGTCCTTCCTCCTTTTTCACGTTGGAGCCTTTTCCATGTTTTTTTTTTCTCCTTTTTCTTTTTGTCCTAAGACAAAACCTTTTACTATATGATTTTCTTTAATTCTATTCCAAACTATTATTTTAAGATTCAAACAGATCTTTCAAACAAGCCATTTAGCAGAACTAATTGCCTTCTAGTTGACCCAAAGAACTTGAAAGCAAACGTGTCGGGTTTCCCACCCCTTTCTTGGGTAAGATTACAATTTTTTTTTCAACATAGAGACGACAGAGTACTGGGTAAAACAGGGGTCTCCAACCTTGGCTACTTCCAGGCTTAAAGTTGCCAAGGTTGGAGACCCCTGGGGTAAAAGACAGCTCAGAAAGGAATAGCAACACGCAGCTCAGATAAGATGAAGGATGTTCAGACGAACTGTTCCTGCTACTTATCCGTTTGCTGTCGCTGTGATCCGACCCTCCAAATCTGCTTTTGGGGGTATACATTAGGTGGGATCAACAGCGAGGGAGCCGTGCCGTCTTAGGCGCCCTTACGTGAGAGTAAGAAGCAAGCGAAGGCAGCAAGCATCCCCCGCGGAACCCCTCGTTTTTCCACCACCCCGCACCTCCACAGAAAGGAAAACAAAACTCGCGAGACTTGTATATAAGGCCCGAGTAAGGGGACTGACACCTTCGCAAGCCCATCGGTTGCAAGGGTCCGTTCAAGCCAAGATTGTTCATTGGCGACTTATGCGGCTCGTCTTGGCCAATGGCAGTGCGAGTAAGTGAAGGGAGGCGGGTAACTCCCCCAAGCCTAGCCGGGGAGGCTCGTGGTGTCTGAAGTCAACTCTTGCCTTGGGAGGGGTTTTTCTCCTTGCGCGCCATCCAGAAGGCAGCCTCTTTCTCTCTCTCTCTCCCTCGGGTGACGGCGGCATTAACGGGGAGCGGGGATTCCGTCGCAACTGCGCACGCTGGAGTCCCCGTGCAGGAGCGGCGATTCTGCGGTCCAAGGTGAGCGTCGAGAAGGAGAGGACGGAGTAAGCGTCCCGATGTAGCTATTTTCTACTCCGGGCTGTGATCTGGGGCGGGGGGGGAGGGGTGGGGTGGGTTGGGGGGGGGGGGGGGGGGAAGAGACGCATTCACCGGGGGGGGCGAGGGGGGGAGGAAAGAGATGCTGTCTACCGAGGCCTTGGAATGTTTTGGCGGAGGTCGGAGAGAAGCTGGCGGGGCATTTTGCCCCGAATGACAGCCTCGGGTGAGGGTGCAACCGGGGCGGGTGGCAAATAGGAGGGGCGGGTGGGGGGTGGGGGCGAGGTGAAGCTACAAGGCCGGCTCTTCATGCTCGCCTTGAGAACATCCGCGGGTCGGCTTTGGGAATGAATGGACCGTTCACTGCGGCAGCTCGGGTTTTTTTTTTTTTTTAATTATTATTTCTTTCACGCATTCGGATAGATACAGGTAGGAAAGAGAAGAAGGAGGGAAGAAAGTGGTGGAAGGACGGTCGGAGGTTGTGAGGGGGAGCTGCGCGTCTGTGCTTGCCGGTGAGGGCGCGGGGGAAACTCGCCTGTCGGGGGACAAGCTGCCCTCCCGGAGCTGCGCCTCGGAGAAAAGGCGGACGGGCGCCGAGCCTGCCGTGTGTCCGACTTTGCGACATGTGGGGAGTTCATCCCCCCCCCCTCAAAGGTGGGTGGTAGGTGGGGAGATATTTTGGTGGCGCCGCGTGGGTGGAGGGTGTGTATGCTGGGAACCGGCAGTCTGTCTGTGGGCTGTCACCCCTTTCCACACAAGCGGGTTTAGGAGAGGATGTTGCTGTGGATCTGTATAAAATTTGTGAGAAGTGTAGAAAACCGAGATGGATTTACACGCAAGAAAGCGGCTATATTAAGTTCTTGGGTAGGGAAAGAGGTGAAGAAATAGGTGTGGTTGAGAGAGAGTCACTTTCTGTAAGTGGAAGAAAGAAAAACTTCACACCGGTATTATGTGCCCAAGATTTATTTTGGATTATTTTTGCTCTGCATTTTCATCTAAAAGTAATTAAAAAAGGCTTTATTTAAAACAATATTTAAGCTATCCATTATTTTTCTTGATTACACTGTCTGAAAATGTTAGTTGTCCATCTTCCTGATGTTCTTGCAGCTCTGTGCTAACGCTATTTATTTTTTGCATTTATATATATATATATTTCACAGTTACACTGGGCAATTAGCTCAGTTAATCGATACATTTTTAAATTCCCCAATCCTAATTGACCACACTGGCACTTTTTAAAATAGTTATGTCCGTATGATACCATAGCTTCTAGTGTCTATGTTGTATTAATTTATTTGTATGAGTATGTAACTTATTAAATTAGACCACAACTTTGTTCAGGTATTGTTTTTAATAATAGTAACAGGTAGAGAACAGGTATTTAGGTTTCTTTGGGTATTTTCCCACATCCTAATAGTTGTGCTTTTAAAGTTATAGTGACGTTTTGGCAGAATCTCATCTGCCATCTTCAGGCTTGTGTATTGGGTTACAATAAACAGAAACAGCTGTAAAAGCCTGACACACAGAAGAACCCAATACATAAGCCTGATGATGGCAGATGAGATTCTGCCGAAACGTTGCTACAACTTTAAAAGCACAACTACAATGACGTGGGAAAATACCCGAACAAAGCTGAATACCATGCATGTAAGTACCCGCAAAAACTTAAGAATACACACACACACACACACACACAGAGAGAGAGAGAGAGAGAGAGAGAGACTTTTACATATGGTGCATTCAAAAAGTATTCAGACCCCTCTTCACTTTGTCAATTTTGTTGTGCTGCAGCCTGATTCTACAGTTGTTGAAATTCATTTTTTCTCATTAATCTACATTCAGCACCCTTGCCATGCTTCACCGTTGGGATGATATTGGGCAGGTTATGAGTGGTGCCTGGTCTCCTCCAGACATAATGTTTGGAATTGAAGCCAAACTGTTCAATCTTGGTTTCATCAGACCAGAGAATATTGCTCCTCTCTGTTTGAGAGGCTTTTTTGCAAACTCCAAGCAGGCTTTCGTGTGTTTTGCACTGAGGAAAGGTTTCCGTTTAGCCTCTCTGCTATAAAGCTCAGATCAGTGGAGAGCTGCCGTGATGGTTGCTCTTCTGGAACTCTGTCCCATCTCCACATAGGATCTCTGGAGCTCAGTCAGTGACCATCAGGTTCTTGGTCACCTCTCTTATTAACTAAGGCCCTTCTCCCATAATTGCTCACTCTGACTGGGCGACCAGCTCTTGGAAGGATCCTGGTTGTGTCATTCTTTATTTGAGAATTACGGAGGCCACTGTGCTCTTAGGAACATTCAGTGCAGCAGAAATTTTATTGTAGCTAGATCTGTGCCTTGCAATAACCCTGTCTCTGAGCTCTGCAGGCAGCTTTCCCTCAATCCTTGGACCTCATTGCTTTTGCTCTGTAGGCAGTTCCTTGGACCTCATGACTGTCAGCTGTGAGGCCTTTTATAGAAAGATGTGTCCTTTTTGAAATAATCAATTTAATTTATCACAAGTTAACTCTAATCAAGGTGTAGAAACAGGTCAGCAACAGGCACCTGTTCATCTGTTCACCTTTCATCTGTTCACCTTTCATCTGTTGTTCACCTTTCACCTTGTTGTTGTTCAACCTGTTCACCTTTCATCTGTTGTTGCAAAGCGTCTGGATACTTATGCCACTGTGATATTTCAGTTTTTTTTCTTTTTAATAAATTTACAGAGATTTCTAAAATTCTGTTTTCACTTTGTCATTATGGGGTACTGAGTCTAGATTAATGAGAAAAAAAATGAATTTCAACAATTGTAGAACAGGCTGTAGCATAACAATTGACAAAAGGGGGTCTGAATACTTTCTGAATGCACTATATATAAAATAGTTCCTAATGCCTATATTGTATTAACTTTCTTGTAGGAGTATGCAGTTTATTAAACTATAAATTTATTCTAACATTATATATAACAGATAGACACACACATACCCGTGAATAAAGATAAGGTTGTAATATATATGAGCGCTATCGGTTTTTTTTAAAGACACTTTAAAAACAGTTTTAAAAAACCACTAGCTATATATTGATACGTCAATAGGGAAAAGCTACCAGAATAAGGGTTGTTTGCATTTGAGAACTAAACCAACACATTCCTTCATGGTAGCTCTAGTAGAGCTATAGCCACTGAAAGCTCAGTCAGAAAGTATTTGTCTTGCAGTAACAATATTAAACTCAAGCCTCTGTTACATTATTCTTGTGCTACACTTTCCATTCCACTCAAAAGCTACTTTAGACTGCAGTTCTAAATTTTATTTGGGCCCTATTGAATACAGTGGTACTACTAAATTATCCTGAATAATTGGAACTTGTTTACATATAAACACTTGTGCACTATATGTATTTATAAAAGTAACATACTTTTAGTCTTTATAATAAGATAAGATATTCTTTATTGTCATTTTTTTTTCTGTGAACACATTGGCACACATTTAAAAAATGAAATTCTGATGCCAGGTTTCAAAAGAAAATATGTTATTTTCGGGAGTGGGGGGGTTTGTAGGAAAAGGGAGAAAAGCTTGAATACATGAAAGACAAACTTCAGCACTATTGACCTTGTAAGAGGACAGCTGTAGTGGTAAAAAATCAGAATTCGAGTAGCACCTTTTTTGGCTAACAAGTTTTGTTGAAAGGCATACATTATTGAACAGATGGAGTTGCAGTTCTTGAAAGCATATGGTTTTCGATAAAAATTGGTAATCAGAAAAGGTGCTACCAGACTCCTTTGGATTTTTTTCAACACTATTAACACCATTCAGTTAAAATATTATGCATCTCTCTCTATGTGGCTAGATACGTATGGAAAAACAAATTCCTTGCTCTGTAAATATTACAGTCAGCATTTTAAAACAGATCTATTAAAAATAGTGTTTGCTTAATTCCCTGCATGTCTGCTGTATGGACCCATTTAATTATATTTAAGGGACAAATAAAATAGCTAGAGAAGTTTAAAAACAAAACAAAAACATAATTACTATAAATCCCCTAATTGAACAGTGAGAGTAAAATCTAGTTGGGGGAAAAATAGCTCATCCTTTATTTTGCAAACCCTAACCCTATCAATTCCATTTTTTCCATTTAAATGATTTCTAGACCTTCTGCATTAATGCAGGAATAGTTTTACAGGACAACAAAAATACAGATCTGGGAAAACTATCATAAAATCAATTGTTTTCTGGGGAAGCTCCCAGTAGGGAAAAGCTCCTAGTAGAACTTAATTGTGCTAAGCCTTATTAAGGTTATACTTTTCATTAATGGGATAATATTCACCGATTCACCTTCATGGTGGATAAGTATAAGACAGCAAAGAATCATCCCTAGTTTGTGAGAAATAGCATGTTTTCAAAACTGGTGATGTTATTTTTACTGTAGTGTTATAAACAGTGATGTTATTAATATGTGCCCCTTGGAACCATATGGCATTCCTTTTTTCTTACTGTTGACAAATTCTTTTTTTTGTTTGGCATGTTTGGATATATTTTACTATATCTCTGTATAGTCACACAGAAGAATCAGCTAGAGTGCTAGACCACATCTTTTGATAATTACAATAATAAACACCTTTAAACAAAGTAATGCCAGTATGGATGAATTGAAGTTGGCATAGAATTGGCGAGGAGATTCATAATGGAAAACAGGTATTTGAATAAGCTAACTGCTCATTACATACATGCATGGAATATATCAATATATCTGGAGTTTTGTATCCCTTTTTCAAGTTTCTAAAATTGGGGTCTAAGTTATTCTTAGATCTTTTTTTGCATTTGGCTGGGTCCTTACATTTAATTTTTATTTTGTGTAGGCGACACTAGGCAAGGAACTGAACTAGATGATTTGGATATTGGATCCTGAGCTGAATGAAATGGGAGCAAAATGCAATGTGAATTAAATATTCTATTAACTTCAGTAGGAGCTAACTTTAATTATTTTTGCATCGAGTCAGTCTAATTTTGTTTTCTGAAATTCTTCTTTCCTTTAGGAATATTTCCAAATATCTCCTAGCCCTTTTCTATATTAGCACAAAAAGGAAATATATTATGGATATCTTCCTCTAACATGACTAACTTCCTTTCGTGTGTGTGCGTGTGTGTGTGTGTCCGTCCATCTGTCCTTACGTACATATGTACCAATGGGCAGACGCCACTGTGATTTTTCCAAAGCCAGCCTACCTGTGGAATTCTCTGTCCTTCCTTTGTACCCTTGCTATTTGGAAGACTTTAAAAAGATGTAAGAAAAGACGTCGAGGGCAGTTTCTACTCGCACAACCGGTTTCTCAACCAGGGAAATAAAATGAAAGCTAGGGGTTTCTGTCCTTTCCTTCTCAGCCTTCTGAACCTGCTGTGTGCCTGGTATAAGCACAATTATAAACCATTGGTAAGCAGAGCAGCCTGGCTGGATGCTGGGAAATGATAATTCATGGTCCTTCTCAATCTTTTCAACTGGTCTAAAAGAAATGAGTGGGTAGGAGAAATTTAACTAGCTGAACAAAGACTCTTCTTCCATATCAGGATATGGCGATCTGACTTCATAAAGGATAGAAATGGAACCCAGAGCTTGCAAAGCTAGTGAAAAAGTTAAAGGAAAGCTCTCACCTATAGAAGGACTGTCACTCTCCTCTGGGAAGGAACAGAAGCCACCTGCGTTTTCCAGGCTTCTTCAAATGAATCATTTACTTGGGATAGGGGGTAGGGAATGTTTCTTCTCCCAAAAGCAAAATAGTAACATGGAAGCTTTAAGCAATAGGCTGGGAATTGTGTCATAAAGAAGGCATGCACATTTGTGTTTACTAACTAAAGCACTCCATTACCACTTTAATGCACTTTGGCAGAAAAGATGTTAGTTACTTTACCTGTACTGGACTCTCATGTTCATTTTATTTTTCTAAATGTTTGTTTTTCATTACTGTTTCCCCATAACCCTATTTAAAATTGAAATTAGTAATTTATTAGGAGAGCATCATGTTTACATAACAAGCTTTGTTCCAAATATCTGGCAAAATGCTAAAGCATCACAGTCATACTTAAATGAACATTTAAAACATGAGTTAGACTGCAAAAGTGTGGATGTTTACAAAAGAAATAAATTGACAGATTTAGATACTATCCCTTTCTGAGCAAAATGCAAATGTTAAAAGTGTTTTATTTACTTTGCCATATTAAAATCTAAAACTTACCATTTAGAAATAATTCAGACCCTTAGGAAAAGTGGGGAAAGGCAGTTTGAGGATAAGAGAAAATATTATGTTTAAGTGATGCTAACATTAGATCATGGGGCATAAGTTCTGGGGAGATTCCCCCCCCCCCCCAAAAAAAAAATGTTTCTGCAGCTGTTCTGTTGATGCTCTGGTTATTCATTGCATATTTCAAAAAAATCCAAATCAACCTTTAAAAAAAATCTTGTCAGTAAGCTGGTCCAATCAGATGTTGCCTTAAGTGATCAAGGAGACTTGCTTGTTAAACTGCAGCTGTGCATCATGCAGTTAACAAAAAAACCCTCTTTTGTTATGCTAATAGCAAGCTGGCCCAATCAGATGCTGCCTCAGAACATAAACCCAGTGTGAGCATTACTGTGGTAAGAGACTGAGACTCAATGCCCTCCAGTCTCCAAGACCACTTGAGGCAACATCTGAGGCATTGTGTGAGGAGAAGACTATAGTGAGGAGTATAGGTTTAATGGATATTACCGGCACTTATTTTGGGCCTGGCCCAAGTTTGCCAATGATAGGAGCAATTGAATAGATTTTTGGCAGGACTAAGAATCTGAATAGGTGATTATTCAGAGTTTTGTCTCTTAAAGGTAATATACTGCATTTGATTTACTATTGATATCTCATGTATGGTCTCATTCTGAAATTACTATTGTTTGTTCACAGAACATAACAGATTAAAGAACTACATTCTACAGCAACAAGACTTTAAGTAATACAATGTGTTTGCCAGCTTTACAATGATTAGGAATGACTGGGCGACTGTCTAACATTCATTGGAATATCTGGTCTTTAAGCCACAAAATTTGAATGAGGAACCTTGGTCAAATCTAAACAGTGTGATGTTGAAATGAGATGAGGCTCCGAAATGGAACTGTGGCCACTGCATTGATTTTCATCACATCTTTCCTCAGTTTATCATGGTATACAGCATGGCAGAATGGAAAAGGTAAGTCATATCTTTTTTGAAAAGAGAGGGGAAAAAGGGAGACCAATATAAATACATTTGAAAAGTTCTTAGATGTTTAAGCTAAAAGAAGCAGTATAATGACATTAAAAATTTTTTTTTAGAAGGAAATAGTTTCCTTGCAGATCCATAGCTTAGTGCTTTCTTCAGACATATAGCAATTATATATTATAGACTTATATACCACTCCTTAGTGCTTTACAGCACGCTCTGAGCAGTTTACAATGTCATCATATTGCTCCAATCTGGGTCCTCATTTTACCGACCTCAGAAGGTTGGAAGGCTGAGTCAATAATAACTCAATCAGGATTGAACTCCTGGTTGTGGACAGAGTTAGTCTGCAATACTGCATTCTAACCATTGCTCCACATGGCTCCTATCAATGTTTTTGGGGGAAAGGGGGCAAAAGACTATATAAAATTGTAAGGAAGTATTACTATATCAATTATGCTCAAGAAGTTCTGATAAGTATTAATGGAAATATGTCAATTTCTGTTTTAGCTCTTATTCTGTATCATAGCTTTGCACATTTAAAAAAAAAATTCACATAAGATTCCATCCTGAACTACAGCCTGAACTACAGTGGGAGTTCAAAGAATGTAGGAGAATATTGTTATGATCTATTTTCTTCTTTAACATGAGTTAATAGCTACAAAGATGATAGACAGTATTCTTTTAAAGAAACATGGTTGTGTTTTTTAATTATCAATATTGACCAATTATTGACCATAAAGAAGGGTTTAATGTTTTTATGACAATTACACATGCTGTTGACTGAATCAATTATTCCAAAATCGTATTTAGAGAAGAGTTTATAAGAATGACCATTACAATAATCTAACATGTTCAAACTGATATTGTTAAATGCAGTCCTAATGCATTGTATTATTAACTTGCCACACAAGTCTTCAGAGATAAATAAGATTTGTGTAATTCATCTGTGGGAATTTGCATTTTGTGATATCAGTACAGCATTTGCAAGTAAATATAAAACATCACAAGAACTTATGATCAACAATGTCTTGGAGCAACTGCTTTAGTACAGATAAGGAATCTATGTAATTCATTCTTGGTTGCTGGCTTAAGTACTAATAAAGAGAAAATATATGTTCCTTGTTAAAATGTAGAAATGAAGATTGACTGTTCCAATAAGTACAGTATTACCCCTACATTGACTGCATTAAAATATGTAAACATAACAAAACCAATAGCATAAACAGGATACTTTAGGAGTAAAGGAAGAAGCAAATTCCCCTTGATATGGTTAACCATCAATGTATTTAAATATATTTATTTGTTTGTTTGTTTATATAGATTAAATAGATTTAATACTGGCTTTCCAATAATAGTATATGCCATTCTATTACAACATGGTTCACTTCTAAGGTATAAAAATAGGAACAGAAACCATTGTGAGGGTTTTGCTAGAAAACAGTGCAATTACTTGTCTTTTCCATTGTAACAATTTTTTGGAAATGATTTTGTTACTTCCAAGTTTTTACAATTTCAGACTGTAGCCAGATTAAAAAGCAAATTAAATACTATATTTCAATTTCATTGCATATTTGACATGCTAAATATATATGTTAAATATATAAACTGGATGGATACAAAAACAGAAAAATCATGAGATTGTAAACTGTGTTACCACTCTTTATTTCTTTTTAATGTTACAATTTCCAGAAAGTAGGAAATCTATTTTGACCAATGTAAGAGATGTCAAATATTTTTACTTTCCCTACACAAAGCAAGAAAAAAACAATCTCTCTGACTATTTTTCAGTTAGCTGAAAATTCATAGGAGACATATCAAGGGATGGCTGGTTGCCATTGGTGACATGGTTTCGGAGATCTTGTTTCAAAATTTTTCATTATGGCTTACCGCCTAACCTTGTGTAACAAGCAAGCCCCATTGAGTTCAAGGTTATTTCTAAACAAAATGTATATAGGACTGCAGCTTTCGTTCATCTCCCTTGTGTTTCCTACTATAGAAGAAGCTATTCCTTCTGAAACTACTATGTTGAATGCTTGAAAGTGAAATAGCTTTTTTCTTAAACTTTGTTGGATGTGAAAGAAGTAGGGGGTCACTGATTTTTATTGTACGGTAAATTTTAGATTAAGCCAGGTTTCTGACACTGTGTATCTGAATAATAGAGAGAAAAAGAGGGACAGAGGAAATGTATCATACTGCATCAAGCAAAGCATTCAAATTAGGAACATGTTGTATCACTCTCTCAGCAGCATTTGGGAGAGATGCTTTCCTTTTCACAAAACTGGGCCCCTAGAAAATATGGGTTAAGTTGGAAAGTCCAATGTAACAAATGTTACCTACCCTCCTATAAACCCACCTTGCTTCAGAATGTGCCATACTTTCCCGGTTTACAGATAGTCCTCAGGTTATGACTACTTCTTCAGTGACCAAGATTACAATAGCACTACACAAGCGGTACTTATGACCAGTCCTCAAAGTTTTGGCCGTCGCTGCATGCTCCCAATTACTGTACCTTTATTCTTTTTCTTTTTCTTTTCTTTTTTGGCTTATAAGTATACTTTGAAGGCACCGCAGTCAGCATCTGTAATAAAATGTAAGGACCCTCCATGGTTTCCATAGAGATTCTTGGCAGTAAAATATTGGAGACCAGAGCTTATCAGTATGGCAGCCTCCTCTTTATTTCCTTTTAAATTAACCAATGTGCTAAATAGGCTAAAAGCATGGTGAATGTGAATGGAGCAAATAGCATGGCGAAGGTGAAGATTTGCAGTTACTATTAATTGCATACACCTTCCCCTTTCATTAGAAGTCTCAGTGGATTATATAGGTAGTTCTCTATTTACAACTGCAGCTGAGCCCAAAATTTCTGTTGCTAAACACAGAACAGTTGTTACGTGAGTTTTGCCCTATTTTATAACCTAGTCTTCCACAGTTGTCAAGGGAATCACTGAAGTTGTTAAGTTAGCAATATGGCTAAGTGAATCTGGTTTCCCCACTGACTTTGCTTGTCAGAGGTCACAAAAGATAATCCTGAGATACTGTAACCATCATAAATACATGCCAATTTGCCAAGCATCCAAATTTTGGTCATGTGACCATGGGGGATACTGCAAGAGTTGTAAGTATGAAAAACAGTCGTAAGTCACTTTTTCCCAGTGATGTTATATCTTCAAATGGTCACTAAATGAATGGCTGTAAGTCGATATAGAGTTCCCTTCATCTTCCACCCAACTCTCCTGATCCAAATCTTGCACCTGAGTCATGATAACACGCTATATTACACCAGGACTGTGTGAGCAGGTTGTCTTGAAAACCATCATAGCTAACTAGAACCAATGTCGGGTATAGAAATTATTGAAGAGAGCTCCGTTAAAATATGTTTTTTTTTTACTTTTTAAAACCTTTATGTATTTATAGTGATAGAAGTTTGGGCTCTACTTTTTATTTCGCATATATCTATTAGACTAAAGGCAATGCAGACAAAACAAATCATACAGATACTGAAAGGAATTGTTTAAGGATAAACGTCCTTGATGTCTAGCAGAACGTTCTTATGCTTTAGCAGGCAGAAAGAAGAGATAATTTGTTTTATACTGAACTATTTTTGACAGAATAGCTACATAATATATTAGACATAGTATGTGTTTATATTTCAAAATGCGTGGCTTATTTGCATCATGCAAGTAAGCAAATATAATATACATTTTATACATCAGTGCTTTACTACAAAGTTCTCCAACCATTCCGAGTTTGTGCACCAGCCGAGCATGGGGAGGGCTGGAGGGGAGAGTTCCATGTGAGCAGGGGACATGCATGCATGCATGCCTGCAAATGGAGCATGCACATGCACTTGCCCACTGCACGCGCAAGGGATGTGTGCAGGTGTGCATTCGCCTGTTACTTCTGCAGCCTGGTTCTGAACAGCTCAAGGCTTGGTAGTGGACTGCAGTTGAGGGATTGGGGAGTCCTGCTCTACTATACTGATCAACTGCTACGGGATGAGAAACATACCAAATAAAGACCAACCAGCCAATTTATAGTGTGGCACACAAGCTTTTAGGGAAGTTCTATGTATGTTTACTGGTAAATAAAAAATATACATAGTCAATTTGTTCATAAATGTTTTACACAGTTTTATAGGTAAAATATTATACTATCATTAATATGTTGAATGTCTAACATTCTAAGAACTATATTCTTCTCTATGCAATTTAATATGATGTGCTTTTCAAAATGATTATCTTTCTGAAACCTGCTGAAGTTCTTCCCCAACTTTTCTGAAACTCCTAAAGTTCTTCTACAACTTGGTGACTACACACTAATTATGCTAGCTAAATGGATTGTGCTAATAAGGACTACAAAATGTATTCCACAGAGTATGTGCCATAACTGAGAAAACCCCTTCTGGTCCATATCCCTCCTGTGTCAACTTCGAACTGAACTTGGCCAAGCCTTCTTTCTGCTCCTCAGATGCCACCTCAAGGGGAAAGTGGGGAAGGAGGTTGGAATGCATTATTAGACACAACAAATAACTTTCTCCTGAAAACCAAGGTCATCTCTAGTGGCAACAGATAAGTTGGGGAAGGAGTGCCTGAAGAGCCCGCCAATTAACCCAGATGTGACCCATGGCACTTGGGAATGGGGTTATTTCCTAGTTTAATTATACTGAAACCGCGGGAAACATTTAGATTTGGTTTTCCATTGAAGCTGTACCAAAATGATGTACTCAATAAAGAAGACCTTTGAGAAGGAGCCAAGTCTCAGAGTTCTGATTTGCTTGGGTTTGTTAGTTGGAGCTTTAACATCTTGCTCATAAAAAAGAGGTGCGATTTGAAGCATGTATCTACAGGTGAAACTCAAAAAATTAGAACTTAAAAGATGCAACTTAAAAGATGAAACTAATATATGAGATAGACTCATTACATGCAAAGCAAGATAGTTCAAGCCATGATTGTCATAATTGAGATGATTATGGCTTACAGCTCATGAAA